AGAAGCCGATAGCTAGGGGTGCAACGTTGACAATGAGAAAGATCAAGCTCTTGAATAGATGTTGACATATACTTCTCCCTGCATCTCTCCTTTTCTGGATCAAGTTGACACTTCGGCTCTTTATCTCTGTCCTCCACCTTCAATGATCTTGCTGAAAGCCCATCAACGACCAGTGATTCTGAGATCAATACACAACATAATCTTAATACCATAGTAGAAACCATGGCAGCATATATTTGGCAGAATTACAAAAAGAAATCACTGAGAAACTCTTCCAGAAGAAAAAATCATTCACATACTTTTACTCATAACACCAGCAAGGAACCCATCTGCAAAATCAACAAAGAAACAGTTACCATCACGCACAGATGAACTAAGAAAACCTATGCACAACCCCTACTTATAATAGTTTCAACACATTACCAATGTTCTCACAGCGCTGTAGGAAATCATTGAATTCCTCCATAAGGTCAGGATATCTTCCAAGTAAGTCTGTCACCTGCAGTGCAGAAAATGAGAGCTCCACATGGAATCTAATCCACAACACTCTCAAAGCTTGAATTATCTATACCATGCTACTATGGCCGGCTAAAAGATTACTATGCACAAATAGCATAGAACCATACATGTTAACTTGAGGAGTTCAAAGAAAAGAAGTTAAATATCAAAGAATCCCACATATAGAAAAGCTACAGATCTGTACATACTACATAGGCATCCATCTTTCTCATAATTACAGTTCAATGCATTATGTATTTCGACTGAATAAACAAATTTTAATAGCTAATTTTTTCAGGTCCAGGAACAGCAAATCATACATTCACTTTAAAGCTTCAAAGGGACCAAATCATGACACAACCAGACCAAAGCAGATGGGGAACTCCACATATTCAGATGGCTCTACAAAGACTCTACATAAGGATGCAGGGTACAAGCCTTGAGGCCCACGAGTACCCATCAAAGAATACTCTGCATAAAGATGAGTAAACGTACCAGATTTTGTAAGTCTGTCTTCTTAATAATTCCATTATTGAATATATTAAGGCACTTCAAGAACGCCTGATAATCATCGGAGCTGCCCAGCTTCTCCTTGACTTTCTCGCAGAATACAAATCCTTCATGGTACATGCCTGGATTGATGATTGGGAAATAATAATCAAAGAGAAGCCAAACAAATGGGTCACACTACATTCATGTCAATAAAACTAAATAAGCAACAGCTATGACATTAGTTTTAGGACTACAATAATACTTACAATAACACTACACAAGCATATAGTGTATCAATGCAGTCGCAACAAGGAATGAACTCCCGACTTTAAACCCACAAAGTAAAAGAAATATTAGCAAATGAACCGATGCCAAGATTCAATGCTGCACAGAAATTTATAAAAATCTTCCTGGTCATGTACTATTCGGAATTTCAATTCATCCATGATATTCACATCACGGAACAAATGCACCGAAATGTGACACCACTATAACCAAATCAGTTAGCAAACAAGAACGGATTAATGGACCCAAAGATGATACATGAGTTAAGTATCTCAAATTATATTAACAGATTAAGCAGTTTTGGTAGCACTGACACAACAATAACTCACTTTTTAATTTATCCTTGTCATCATAAGAAGCAAAGTTAGAACTGATTCCATAACCCTCAACTTTCCGGGAGGGTTTCCTCCTGTTGCTGTCATGATCAAGTTCCCTCTCGTCTTGATCACGACCATGGTTGTCTCTACCATCTTTCTCAACTCGCTTTTTTTGTTCTTTGTGTGCTTTCATCATCAGTTTCTCATCATCCATTTCAGGCTGCTGAAGACTAAGATTCCTTTCACCATTTGAATTAACAACTTTGTCTCGCCTAAGTTGCTGATAAAAAAAGTTCATTATACCACTGTTAATTCACCAGTTGGAATCCAATATATTTTCCAATCATTGAGTAACCGTCCAGCAATCTCAACAGTAAAAATATAGAAATCCTTTTCCACTCAAGAACAACTATATATGGCTATTGAGTATTAACCTTCTCCATGTGCATCGGACGCAAGGTGACAGTGGAAGAGTTATGCTGTGACACTGCGGTTCCAGAATTGTCTGGTAAGAACCTAGTGAACTCGTCAAGCAAATCCGGATGGTCCTTGAAGAGAGCAGCAACCTGTACTTTGAAAAACATTCACTTTCTCAGGGGCATGTTGTGAGCATCACATAGCAATGCATGTATTCTTGTTCAAAGGACCTACCTCTTTGTAGACCTCATTTATGTCTTTGTGCTCCTTCCGGTAGATTTTAAGGGTATCGAGGAAGGATTTATACACATGTTCATCATTCTGGAACCGTTTCTGTAAGATCCAAATCCATCAGTCATAAATGAAATGTGCAGGCTCTAAAACGAGACTCCCTCCCTATGCAAATCAAAGTAGACTTACATATTCTACCCAAAAAAAAGTAGACTTACATAGCACACACAAATAAAAGGGGGGAAAAGAAATATCCTACCTTGATTTTATTAACGAAGTTCATAGCTTCATCAAATTCAACTGTCTTCTTTGGTGGATCATCAAGAGTTATTTCATAACCCTTCGGCAAGAAGGTATTGAAACCATATATTAGGTTGTTATGTCCTTTGAACAACTCTTTGACCCGTGCAATAACACCAGCGGTGTCAGTTCTACAAGAATACAGCAAAAAGCATTAATTTTCAGAGGCAAACATTTATCAACTATACACACCCTACCAATAGTAGGGAACTTACTTCTGAGCCTTGAAATCTTTCATGACCTCAAGGAAAGTCTCATACTTGTCCTGTTTGTCCTGAAACATGTCTTTCACTTCCTTAAGATAGGTCAATGCATCGTTGGTCGTAAGTTTATGAGAAGCTCCACTAGCAGTGGCAGTATTACCACCTCCACCGCCTCCCTCCATTCTGCCACCACCAGCTCCTCCAGCAGGCCCTACTCCATCACCCACTACAGCTACTCCTGCCCCTCCTCCAACTCCTGGAATTGATGGTTGCGCACACCTTGAATCGGAAATACGGAAAATTCAGATAAAGCTAAGAAAACACACCAATGATAGCAGTAGAAGACCAAAGGCCCGTCACAACTAGCAACATCAACGCGCACGACCTAAATATCCAGGACAAGTCAAGCTTACACTACTCCAAAGCTAATGATGCACTCCTCTCAGAAGCACATAGATCAACACATTGATGTAATGAAGCTAAATGCATTCTAAACCTAACCATATTGTCTTGAGATCAGTAAAATCTCTCCAAGATAGTGGTCACTGAATTCTATATTGAACTCCAGATCATGACCCTGTATAACCCTAAAACAGTCATATCCGACAAACCAAAAGAAATAAAGCTTACAAGATCCCTCAGCTGCAACCAAAGAAAAGATTATCTAAACTCCATCAACAACGACTCACGAACAAACTAAGCTAAGTGAAGAAAAAAAAAAGAGCCGCAAAACGTCGATGGTGAAGATTTTAATATAGAAGAACCAAGAACAAACTAATCATATCACCGATCGAGCGAGGTCCCGCAGCAGAAATCACTAAACCAACTAAACAAAGCCAAATACTTAGCTTTGAGGAGAAGCAAAAGAAGCCAGAGAAATGAGCAGGAAGCGGAACATGAAAGAAGAAGGTACTGACGATTCGCGGGAAGAGCCGAAAGGTCGCTTGAATTGCGAGCCGCCGCCGTAGAACTCCTCCCTCACTCTCTTCATCCCTGCGGCGCAATAAACAGAAATCAGAGCAGGAGATGTAACTCATCCGGCACGTGGAAACCAGAGGAAAAGCCATTAGCAAACGAGAAAACGAAAAACTCACTGACTTGAGCGCAGATCTCAGGGGAAAAGAGAGAGGAAGGAAGGTAGAACAAGTTAGCTACTTCGTGCTTTCCCTTTCCTGATTGATCACAGCACCACAGCAGCGCACATGGAGAAGGCGAGCGACCACACGAAGGAGAAGAAGGAACAGGCCTGTGTGTTTATTCTCTTTCGGCGTTACGGCCTCTAGTTTTGTCTGCCAAGTAAGGAAAAAACTGCGAGCAGTTTCAAAATGTATGCGAAGGGAAGAAGGGGTTAAAGGGAAAACAGGAGGAAGTTTTGATTTGAGAAGGCGGACGGAAGGGAGAGAGATTTAAGAGGAGGTGGAGAATTTTATGCTGTGGTTGCTTTGGCGAATGAATGGAAATAGGAACAACTTACCTAGCAAAATTTTTAGGGCTAATAGTAAGTGTTATTTGTCTCACGAATTACTCAATATTTCATTTATGTCCCAACGTATGATAGTTATGTATCATTTATGTCCCAACGTATGATAGTTGTGTGTTATTTATGTTCAGAAGATTTCATTAATCGTTATAGATAACATTTGATCAGACGGCGGTCAACTTGATGTTGGCTTAGAAGCAGAATCGACGGAGTGATGAAGGCAATTTGGGAATTTTTCTAACTTTTTATTTTTAATCATTTTAGATGAAAATATAAATAAAATTGATATTTAAAATTCCATATTATATGTCACGTCGATACTGACTGAATTTTCTGTTCAATACTGACGGTCAAACTCGTCAACACTAATGGAAAAATAGTTTACTGCTGCATAAATGTCATATTAAATAGTTCGGGACACAAGTGGCACTTTTTTATAGTTCGAATTTTCTAATGGTATTAAGCCAAATTTTTAACCAAATGGGTTTGCAATTTACAAGTCAATTAGTTCATTTTAAGCACCTTAATCTATGCTTTTTTTTTACATAAGGACCTTAATCTATCCTTAGTTGTCTGATTTCGTTTCACCTAGCTTTAAATTTTTATATAAGCTGGTTATTCCTTGAGTCGAGCAATTCAAACTAGGATTCGTTTTAATTGGAATTCAATTGGGATGCTTCCACAAATATACTAGTTCAATTAATAAATTGGTTAGTTATTGAAAATATTATAAGAAATGTCCTTCCATTTCCTTGAAATTCCACATTGTTCTGTTAGATTTTGAATTTCTATTTATATTTGATTCTTCAAGTAAGCATTACCACTCCAAATTTTGACATGCAATATGTTATAACCCCTTCAGATACAACTCAAATAGGTAGATACATATATGATACGCTCAATCCTCATATTGGAAATTTGGGATGCAAAAAATATTTTTATTTGCCTCATTAGTCATTAAATCATGTCCAATTCCAAAATTTCTCACACCATTAAAAGTGTTAGTAGAGTGAATCGCAGTACTATATAGGGATGGCAATGGGGCGGGTTTGCTTAAACCATCCCCATACCCATCTTCAAATACCCAAACCCATACCCGCCTCATACCCATGCGGGGAATGTTTTGCAAACCCATCCCCATACCCGTGGGTTTCGGGTACCCATGGGTAATACCCATACCCGTACATCCAACATTATTATACCTAAAACTTACAAGAAAAGTTCTAATTATAATTCTAAATGAACATATTATATCATGAAGTCAATAAAACACGGTCATTTTTTAATATGGTTCAAAGATTATGATCCTAAAATATCCATTAATACATAATATAGAGTATAATATTTTTCAAATTATTATGTTCTAACTCTGATACATCTACTAAATAATAATTAACTGACATAATCTTGTTGACAAAGGGGAAAGTGAAAGAGTGAAATGAGAATTGAGAGAAATGAATTAGATTTTGATTAAGGTGGTCAATCAATTGCATTTCTACTATTTATTTCTCAAGTTATCCTCATCATCATTGATAGATTATAATTTGATGCACATATTTTTTTATATGTGAAGAAATTATCTTGGTGGGGCGGGTATGGGGATGGGGATGGGTATGGGGCGGGGGAGGCTAAAACCATACCCGCCCCATACCCATCAAACTGTTTGCGGGTTTTACCCATACCCGGTCAAAGCGGGGATTCCCCGCGTTGACTGGGTCGGGGGCGGTCGGATACCCGCGGCCATGGGTTTGATTGCCATCCCTAGTACTATAATACAATTTGACAATATCATTTAATTCCTATATGTATCAAATAAATTCTTTGATACAACTACTCACCACTATCATAATTTGATCAGAAAACCATTTCATAATTATAATGGTTAAGAAAAAGGTTCTCTTCTTTCCGAACAAGAAATTCGAAACCATAAAAGAGGTTTTAATAGTATCAACAAAGATGTGAAAGAAAAAGAGAAATAAACACAACGACAAAATAACAAGCAAGTCATTGTATATTTGTAATAAACTATAATGGCCGAGATCCATTGAAGATTAACCAAGGAGAAAAGTAACAAGCAAGCCATTGTATATTTGTATTAAGCTACATCAACCGAGACCCGTTGAAGATTAACCAAGGAGTAATAAGCTCCGGCGGGTCCTTTTGCCAACAGAGACGAGTGGGTCCCGCTCTCTATGACCAGCCCTTTCTCCAAAACCACGATGGAATCACAGTTTTGTATTGTACTCAACCTATGGGCCACCACCACGATCGTCCTCCCAACCATCACCCTCTCCACCGCCGCCTGCACTGCCTTCTCCGACCACCCGTCCAGGGCGCTCGTTGCCTCATCTAGCAGAAGAATCTTTGGGTTCCTCAGCATCGCGCGGGCCACCGCGATCCGCTGCTTCTGCCCTCCCGACAATTGGACGCCTTTGTCCCCGCACCACGTGTCGTAACCATCATTCAGGCCCGAGATGAAATCATGTGCCTTGGCAGTCTTCGCTGCCGCAATCACCTCTGACTCACCGATCTCGTCCTGGACCGAGCCATAGGTGATGTTATCCTTGATCGTGGCAGCAAATAGTACAGGCTCCTGGCTTACTAGCCCGATCTGCTTCCTTAGGGATCGGAGGTTATACGTCCTCACATCCCGGCCGTCGATTCTCACTGTTCCTCGTTGGGGGTCGTAGAACCGTTCGATCAAACTGATGATAGTTGATTTCCCGGATCCGCTCTGTCCCACCAGCGCTGTCGATTTCCCAGCTTCTATTTTCATCGTGAACCCTTGGAACACAATCATGTTAGGTCGGGTTGGGTAAGCAAAATCCACGTCTTGAAACTCAATTAAGCCCATTATCCTTTCAGGCTTGTAACCTTTTGGATCCTCTGGCTCAATTCTCGTATGTCGGTCCAATGTGTCAAACACAGACCGAATAGTTTCCGACCCCTTGGCAAGGTCCGTGATCATGGCTCCAGCATTGGCAATCACCGGACCGGTGTTGATCAGAATTAAGAATGTCTCAAACACTGCTTTAACTGAGATCTCTCGCTGAGAGACGAGTTTCCCGCCATACCACAAATCTAGAGCAGTAGTCAACAACATGAGGCATTGTGAAGTGGAGAGACCTAGACCGGCGTACCAAGACTGTTTAATGAACTCTCGTCGTGGGGATTCTTGGGCTTTGTCTAGCATTGAGAGGATCCGGGCTTGGGAAGAGAATGCGGTGATGGTTCTGTGGTTGGAGACTACTTCGGCTGCAAGCTTGCTGGTCTCGTTATGAGCTTTAACGGCTCGTTGAGACATGGACTTGATCAGGATGTGTCGAGTGTAGAAGCAAATGATGAAAATAGGTTGAACTGCGATCATTATGATGGCGAGTTTGGGAGCAATCATGAGCCCCATCGTCCATGCTACAATTACTGATGAAAGTGTTTGTACAAGGAGGCTCATACGATCGCCAACTACGGTTCTCACCTGCAATCCCAAGTAGCAGAATGGTCAATGTTCATTTGTTAGATAGCACTTGGAAAATTGGTAAGGAAAAAATGCAAAAGCTATAAATGTTACTCACCACATTGGCATCTTTGGAAAGTCTAGAGTAGACTGCACCACTCGAATTCTCATCCTTGTCAAACCAACCAACCTCGAAAGTGAGAATCTTTGACAGCATTCGCTCGCGTACCCTTTTTGTCAACTGCTCGCCCATGTAGCCGAAATTGTAATGTTGAACAACGTTAACTATCAGAGAAGCAAATGCCAATCCCAGAAAAGAGAGCGAATATATCTTAGTCTTCTCCTTAATCTGATCGTGGTCTTTGAAGAAATACACTGATATCATCGACCCCATGGCAAAGGAATATGTGGGTTGGACTCCTCCAAACAATATCGCGCTTATACATCCCATAAATGCTTGCTTCCATTCTGGTAAGTTCAACGCAATCAACCTAAAAAAATAAGGGTTTGGAACTTTTTGGGCCTCTGATGAGCCAGGGAGTGGTATATTTTCTACCATGGCTGCACTCGATGAGACCCCTAGAGATAACATGTGGCTACTGGTGTTATTGATGATAGGAACTGGAGCGAGAGACAAGGACGAAGGAGCTTCATTTTGGTTGTCTTCTTTTTTATCCGATTGTAGAGTACGAACAAGGAAAGCATACGAGCCATCTTGATGTTGGATTAACTCGTCATGAGCTCCTGTTTCAATAATGTGTCCATTTTGGATCACGGCAATGATGTCCGCATTTCGTATGGTGGAGATACGGTGGGCAATGATGATGGTGGTACGACCATAAGAAGCTTTGTCGAGAGCTTCTTGGACAAATTTTTCAGATTCTGAGTCTAATGCACTTGTAGCTTCATCGAGTAGCATGATCTTTGGTGATCTTATGATTGCTCTAGCTATTGCGATTCTTTGCTTTTGTCCTCCTGACATTTGTACCCCTCTCTCCCCAACCTGAAGCGTCAAAGTGGAGAGACAGTGAGAGAATGACATATGAAAAATAAAGCTACACTATTTGATAAATGAAGATTACTAATAAGTTATAACTAGATTAGAGTCCAAATCTACTACAAGGAAAGTCAAGATAAGAAAAGTAGGTAAATATTGAGAGAATTGACACAAAATATGTAGAGAATGGGGTGGAGGGAAGTTCTTCGCCCCATCTCATGCTACTTGAGGGTCTTTTAATAACTGGGACAAATCATAATAGGTTGGATTGAGTGGTTTAGGTCACACGTTATCATCCGAAGACTGATAATCTATTAGTCAAGTAGGTACTAGGCTAAGAGAAAGAGAAAACATATAGTTGTATCAACCATTACGACAGAGCATGTGACTTAATTAAGTTACATAGGGACCGTTGAGAGAAACAAAAATGCATCATGATACTAGAAGAAGTGTACTTTTAGACACAAGACACCGAATGAAATATGCACAATATAAATGCATATAAAGAAATAATGAGATGTTTGGTATCATCGTAATGAAAAGAACTGTTAGGTATCATCGTATATGTAATAGCAAAGTAGTCAAATCTCGATTTAAATGCTAAAATCCTATGGTTTTGCAATTTTATCAACCTGTTTCGATCCTAATTTCTCTACAAAATGTATGGACCTTAAAATCCTACCTATTACGGTTTAAATCCTTAAAATCTTTAAAATCTTACAATTTTGAAGGATTTTAATGATTTTAAGATCCATGTTGAATTGATTGAATTTGGACCAATCAAACCGAGTTAAAGAGGTATGGTCAAATCTTTGGGTCACTTAAATCCTTTTTCCTTCTCCTCCATCAACAACATATAGTTTTGTCTCACTACTAATTTAAAGACTCATTTGCTACCATGTAAGAAAACACCTAAAGCTATCCTATTCAAGATGAATAAAATGTTAAAATTGATCTATAATGAAGAAAGTACTAGGAATCACACACGAACTAATAAACACATAATAATTTATATTCTAAAAGTACTTGTAAGTGATGAACTTCCTGTAACGACTTTGTGATTGTGAGTACTACTCTACATTTGTGTTGAATAGGAACAATAATCTTGAGAAATTATCATTTTACGTGTTATGTGCCTTTGCGTTATTCATGATTAACCTTATTAGTATTATTCGGTATTTTTTTACCTTAAAATCCTACGACTTTATGATTCCGATATTGCCCAAGTTTTCGATTTTACGTAAAATCTTAATTTCGACTGCTTTGTGCAAGAGCATGTAGGATCTTTGTATTATATTGAATAATGATATATGAAGTATGATAAAGAGAATGAACAAGCTTACCTGGGTATCATAACCTTGAGGGAATTGGCTGATGAAATTGTGAGCATTGGAAGCTTTGGCAGCTTGAACAATCTCTTTAACAGAACCATCTTCCTTCCCAAAACGTATGTTTTCTTTGATAGATGTAGCAAATAGGATAGGCTCTTGGCTTACCAAACCCATCTGTGATCTTAGCCACTTTAGTTGCAACTTATCAATGGCAACATTATCAAGAAGTATTTCACCACGAAGCGGGTCGTAAAACCTTTGCAATAGAGCTATTAAGGTTGATTTCCCAGATCCACTACTACCCACCAAGGCCACAGTTTTGGCAGAAGGAATATGCAGAGAGAAATCTTTGAAAACTATGGTGTCCGGTCTAGATGGGTAGGCGAATTCAATATGCCTGAATTCGACTTCACCTTTGACATTTTCCAAGGATCCACCTTCAGTATTATCTATGTCAATCTCGGACACTCTTCTTATGATTTCAGTCATTCGCTCTCCTGCTGACCATGCCTCTGAGAAATACTTCAAGTTGGATAAACTGGAACCAAGCGCTCTTACAAAAGGAAGAAATAAGACCATCAATAAGAAGGGTACACATTTAAAGGGATCTAATATTGAAGAAACATATAATTGAAAGAGGACGAATAAAGTTTGAGGTTACATACAATCCTCCAACAACCACAAGGGTGCTGACAGAGAAAACAGTGCCACCTTTGGAGCCATGGTACATGACCATTCTGCTTCCGTAGTATACCATGAAAGACCAAATGGCGAAAACAACACCGTTACTGCCAAAAGCCAGACCCTTAGCCAGTCCCTGCTTCAAACCCAGTACCATCGAGAATTCAAGAGTTGTGGAATATGCAACATTGGTTTTGGTCTCGCCAACAAATGCATACACAGTCCTGATGGAAGATATTGCCTGCTCAGTTATATTTCCTGCTTTTTTGTACTCTTCCGCTATCCTTCTTGCCAACATCATTAAAGTTCTTCCATACAATATACCAGGAACCACCAAAAAAATCACAAATGGAAGCCCAACAATTGCAAGCCTCCATTGCAATATCAATCCGATTATATAGCACCCCAAGAACATGGCAAAGTTCATTAAAAAGAAGGGAAGCTGGTACAACAGTTAACTCGAGGTTAGCATGCTAAACAAAACTATTATAAGAGAAAAGTGGGTAGATGGAAGATTGTGTAGATGACCTTTTCACTTATGACATCTTGAATAGCCAGACAATCATTTGAGACAGTTGTGATGATCTCTGAGGGACTTGTCACATGCAAATCAAAATAGCTTACTTCTTGCCTTAGCACTGCTCCTAAATAACTAGCTCTGATCTTTGCAGCTTGTCTCGCACTGGTCCTTGTCCAACAATATCCTTCTAACAGTGCCAAGAAAAAGAAGAAATAAAATGGTTAGGCATGTTCTCATCAATATGGTTGATTGGACATACACAAAAGCGCTCCACAATATTGTAATTAAAACTACCTAGGAAACAGAGGAGTCCCTGTGCACAAGCCACATAGCAAAGTGCCAATGCATTCTGTCATTCGCGAATTCAAAACCTCTTAGAATGGAATCACCAAAATTGAAAGGAATGAAAATTAGGAAGAGAGAGAAAATACCATGTTAATGTTATGAATGATGACATCTGCAGAATTGGTGGGTGCATCACCAATATGGTTCAACAGCTTGCTACTAATGAACAACATGACTGGGGTGGAGATCCCATCACCAATCGATCCGATAAGCCCCACAACCATCAACAACCAATCTACTTTATCCGCATGAATCAAAATCGATCTGAGTGATTCAATGCCACTCGTCTTCTTCTTCTTTACTACATCACCCTTATTTTCTTCAGCACCCATTTTTCAAGTATTCAAAAAAGCTTCTCCTTTTCTTTCTTCTTACTCTTCGATTGAGGTCTGTCCCTTATATACCAAGCACCAAATAAAACCACAAATGCTTAGATAACCAGGAAAACCTCAAAGGAAGGCTGATTTTGTCAAGTTATCATATGCAAATCATAGAGTTGAGTGAGGTCAATGAAGTTTGCTTCCGTTCAATGGCAATGATCAAATATTCCTAAACAACTAAAGTATCTAACCCCAAGCAAAGCAGAATCATGCTTGGTTGGATTTTCACTCTCCCTCTCCTTCGCATGACATCATTTGGGAAAGATCATGACAAATTTATCAACTGCAAGCAAAATGAGCATTTTTTTAACGAATTTCATCTATTGACAGAGACTTCATCTTTGAAATATTATTAATTAGTTGATTTGTTGCAAGTACATTAACTATGTATAACATAATTTTTCCTTGATCCCCTCCCATATTGTTTTTCTTCAATAACAAGAGCATTGCTAAAACCAAGTTCTATTCTTTTCATTAAAATTCCAATATTGTTATTACTCGTACCCCACAATGCCCTAAAATTGAACCTACTAAAATCTATAAGTCTTTAAGGTTTGGATGTATTTTTATTTGAGGGTTCATTTCGTATTTAATTATAGGATTCCATAAAGTTAGAGTTAGATGGTTTTTAAAGTAAAGAAAATTTATTAGTTGGACTCGAAACTATTGGTTGCCCATACACCCAAATATACGAGATCAAAGTCTGATAATTCAGTATTTTCAGACGATTTTTTGTAAACAAGGAATCTAACGTTCTACTAATTTGTGTTCTAAGGTTTTGGTATTGAGCTTTATGAAAGAATTTTGATATTTTAATTGTGTATTTGAGTAATCGATCATTTTAAATGAGTTTCATAAGAAGAGGCTATTACGGTAATATTTAATTATTTTCTTATTTATTAATATCATCGCCATTATGGGTGAAAATTTTAGTTAAGAGTATTAGGTCAAGATTTCGACACTTCTGTAAAATGAAATTCTTGATTTAGTTCGCAAGGGGAGGTTGAATGGCAACATGTAATTTCAAGGAGATCAAGAGGCATTTTAGTCATTTTCACAGGTAAGGTATATCAACCTTGTTAACAGCCAAACAAACCGTAATCCATTTCCCATCTCTTAGTTTCGATCTCGAACAACCCCAACAAACACGAAACCCTAATGTTTGACAAAAGGGGTGCAAATTCGAGGGGTACAAGTTAAGGGGTAAATTGCAGGAGGGTGCAAGTTGAGGGAGGGTGCAAGTGGATGGGTAAATTGTTGTTTGGATGAAAAAATAGGTGGGTGCAAATAGAATGAGAAGTGAGTAATTATATTATTATAAGATAGATTCATCAAAAGTTATAAATTATTATCACAAAATAATAAAATAAATAATAATAATAAATATAATTTAATAAAAATATTTATTATATAATAATGATCAAATAATAATTAATTATAACAACTTTAATAATCATTGATCGAGCTATCTCGAAGCTCGGAGCCCAACTCGTAACTTGTCATACTACATGGTTCTCGTGTATAATTTAACTTTAATTTGAATATGGTCAAACTTAGTCAAACACATTCTATTATGTAAGTTTGAACTATATGATCAACTAAACTGAGTCAACCAAACCGTTCATCGCTACCTTTTTCATAAGCACTTCTTATCTCTAATTTCCAACGCAAATTCGAGTCAACCAAGAGATCTTGATTTGACTAGACGAACATTGATAAACTTGCTCTCGGAGTCAAATAGTAAACCCCGAACATATCTACATAAGAAAAGAAATTATTAATTTTAATTAAAAATTTATTAGAAAAATAATTTTTCTCCCCCCTCCCCCTCCCCCTCCTTCCTTCCTTCCCTTGCACCTCAATTCAAAAGTAAGGCGAAATAATAATTTTGCACCCCTACTGTTACAAATCATCCAAACGGGTGCAAATGTGTTGAAAACTGTGTTTATCCCTCTCATTTGCACCCTCCTCACATTTTACAACATTTCAATCTTGTCCCTTGAATCAATTCACCTTGCCCTTTGAATCCTTTTGGATTCTTCTTATACTCCGTTAGCAACCGTTTGGAAGTTGTGATATCAAATGGTGTATTGATCTAATTCATGTATTTGTGAGATTAAGTGGTTTTTTTGGTTTATATAGAACTAGAATACATGCATTTACTTTTTGGAGGCACCACCACAATCACTCAATATTGAGGGATTTACAATCTCTACTTTTTGTTGAGATTCTTCACAATCACTCAATACTAACTTTTTTACCTTTAGAACAAAAACAGAATCTAAACCTCCAAATAAGATATTTACCTAATACATCAATCGATTCAATCCATCAAATGATAATACACTAATTGACCCAATACATTAATTTGAAGAATCACAACTTCCAAACAACCTCATCTCCCTCGAACCCTCGACATGCCTCTCTCTCCCTTACTCGATCTGACTTCTCCTCCACTCTTTCGTCTTGGAAACGACGACTAGAAAGAAAGAAGAAAAAAAGACGACGGCAGCGGGGTAGTCGCCGATTGTGATGACGGCGGCATCCCCGGTTCCGGCGAAGACGATGACGAAGAGGAGACCTTTTCGGTAAGATTTTTAACAACTTTTTTTTTCTTTTGGTTTTCAGATTCTGACTTTGATTTGTTGTCCTTGCGAATTTTTTTATATTTTTATGGAAGACTTGGATCGATTTTATTAAGTCATGGACCAAAAATTACAATCAGAATGAAGGATTGGTGGCCTAGAGATCCAATTTTCCTCCTCCTAATTACAGAGAGTGTGAGCTAGCTAGGTGATATTTCATGAAACTCTCTTCTGATTTTAGAGATAAGAAATTGATATTTACTTTTGATTTCTGGTTATTCCGAGTGTTTGGGGTTTGGTGGGGATGATTTCAGCGGCGGCAATTTGTGGGATTTGGGAAATTAGTGAATTTGTTTTTATTTTATAGGCATGATGATATGAGCACTTCTACTATGCTATTTAGTATTGGTGTTTTAATGTACAACTTAAAGTTGTACCATAAAATTAAATGTATAAGTTTAGGTTGTACCATAAAGCAATTTGTACCATTATGTTATGGTACAACTTTACAACTCGAAGTTGTACCATCACATAAAAGTACAAGTTCAAGTTGTACCATAAAAGAAATTAGTGAATTTGTTTTTATTTTATACGCATGATGCTATGGCATTTTCATCCAAGTTCTAGAAAATAAAGAAATTGTAAAATGGCATTAGTTAAACAAGATCATACTTAATATGTAGCTTATTGAAATAGTGAACTAGGAAACTTAACTAAAAGTATAAAAAGTTCGTAGAAAATGAGATTATCCTGTGTAGAAAGTAAGTATATACATTAGACAATAGCTGACGAAAATATAAAGTGCTTAATTTGAAGAGAGATTAAAGGAAATGTAAATGATGCTAGAAATGTAAATGATGCTATTGGCTGATGGTAATAGTAAATTGCTTGAGTGGAAATGTGTAGCAAGTTAGCTGACGGTGTATAAACTATAAAGTGCTTGAATGAAAATGGAACTGATAAAGTAAATCGATAATGACAAGTAGATGAAAGTATTCATCTTGTAATTTAATTGGGATTGATTGAATCTGATATTTTAAGGGTTTTTTTAGGCCAGATTGTAATTTGCTTGGAGTAAAAACTTTACTTTACACATGGGTAGGAGAAGTTAGATGATTATGAATGATGATGGAATTAAAAGGAAGGATTCAGTTTCTGCAACCAACCTTGAGTCTGAAGTTTGAGTGAAGGGTTGGAGCTGCTTTCCTCCTTTCTGTGGGTATTTCTGCTGCCCTTGTGTTTTTGCTTTGGTGTGCTAGCTGCAGTTTTTGTTTGCGATTTTTGTGTTCCTTTGGTGTGTTTTGGAGAGGCAGAAGCGGAAGAGAGTTTTTTTTTTTAGAGCTGCCCCCTTCTTTCTCTTTCACTGTTCTTTTTGGCTTCTGTTGGCGTCTGTAATTTTGAGGAGGAGGAGGAGGAGGAGGAGGAGGAAGAAGAAGAAGAAGAAGAAGAAGAAGAAGAAGTTGGTGAATGATATTTCCTTTGTTGTTGATTCTGCCCCTCAGAGCTGAAGAAGACCTCCTTCTTTATAGCCCAAAAAGTGCTACTGTTCTTGTTTGTTGGCACAATATAATTGGCTTTTTGAGGCTGTAGGCTGTAGATGGATGATTGCATCTGTACTGAACTAATTAGATTACCAGGAAAAGCTTCAGAAGGCTGGTTTTGTCAAGCTGTTATATGCAAAGCATGGAGAGTTGAGTGAGGTCAATGAAATTTGCTTCCGTACAATGACATTGATAAAATATTCCTTAACAACTGAAGCATGTAAAACCAAGCAAAAGCTGAATCATGGTTGGTTGGATTTTCACTATGCCTTTCCTTCTCATTACATCATCTGGGAAAGCTCAAGACTAATTTAATGATTGCAAGGACAAGGAGCATTTCTTTAAATTTGTATAGTGATGGAGACTTCGTCCTTGCAATATTATTAATAAGTTGCAAATACATTAACCTATATGTACAACATAATCCTTCCTTGGTCCCCTCCCATATTGTTTTTGTTCAATAATGAGAGCATTGGTACAACCAAGTTCTATTCTTTTCATTAAAATCCTAATCTTGTTACTCACTCATAACCATAGTAATCCTAACATTCTTTACCTTACTGTTGTAAAAGCTAATCATGCATAACAAACACATAAAGATAAAATCAACTTGGCATCACATTGCACAGAAAATGTCGAGGAAAAAATATAATATGTTGACGTGGATATCAAGTCATTCATATGTTCTCCAATCAATGAAGTGGAGATCACTTTTACAATTTTCTGATGTTTACATTTCCCAAAACTCACAGTAAAACAGAGACTAATCGATGAATGGTAATCTCTGATAGATCATTTCGTTGGAAAGGAAGAGCGAGTCCCCTTGTACCCACCACCTTCCCATGAACGGAAAAGCATAAACTAGTCCACCTTCTCTGCTTTTCAATTTATGGCATGTGGAACCACTCCACGATCATCACTATTAGCAGACCGACGATGTGAGGGGATGGGAGATTGGCCATTTGAAGTGAAACCGCCAAATCAAGAAAAATTACCATTATTCGTGCTTCTTGCACTTATACTTAATTACATTGTTACTTGTGCAATTGTGCTCGTTACAACTTATAACACCTTGTTGATTATTGCAGACAGGGATAGGATGAGAAAAAAACCCTACTACTCTCCTGCCGCACATCCTAATTACTCCCCCCTTCTACCTTGTTCTAGCGGCAAACAAACAGCTCCGACGATAATTAAGAAAAATAATTAACATTAACATAAAACTCAGTTAAACACGTGGCTTGATGGGGTCCGCTGTAGACTGACCAACGAGAAGTAGACACCAGCGGGTCCTTTTGCCAACAAGGACGAGTGGGTCCCTCTCTCCACCACTCTCCCCTTATCCAACACCGCAATCGCATCGCAGTTCTGAATCGTGCTCAGCCGGTGAGCCACCACCACGCTGGTCCGTCCAACCATCACCCGCTCCAGCGCGTCCTGAACCACCTTCTCCGACTGGCTGTCCAACGCGCTCGTCGCCTCGTCCAGCAGCAGAACCGCCGGGTTCCGCAGCACCGCACGCGCGATCGCGATCCTCTGCTTCTGCCCGCCGGACAGCTGCACCCCTCTGTCCCCGCACCACGTGTCGTACCCGTCCTTCAACCCGGCCACGAAGTCATGCGCGTTGGCCGCCTTCGCCGCCTCCACGATCTCAGCCTCGCCGACGTTCTCCGTCGCCGCGCCGTACGCGATGTTCTCCTTGATCGTCCCGGCGAACAGCGTCGGCTCCTGGCTCACCAGCGCGATGTGTCGCCTCAGGGATCTCAGATGGTACGATCGAATGTCACGGCCGTCGATCTTCACGGAACCCCTGATCGGATCGTAGAACCGCTCGATCAGCCCGATGATTGTCGATTTCCCCGATCCGCTCTGTCCGACCAAAGCCGTCGATTTCCCGGCCTCGATCCGGATCGAGAATCCCTTAAAGATCATGACATTAGGTCTGGCAGGGTACGCGAAATCGACGTCTCGAAGCTCGATCTGTCCGTTGATCTTCTCCGGCTTCTCCCCTCCTTCCTCGTCCTCCGGCTCGATCTTCGTGACTCGATCCAACACGGCGAAGACCGACCCGATCGAGTCGGATCCTTTGGCGAGATCCGAAGTCATGGCTCCGGCATCGGCGATGACGCGACCCGTGCTGACCAAGATCAGGAAAGTCTCGAACAGGGCTTTGACCGTGATGTGGCCCTGCGAGATCAGCTTGCCGCCGTACCAGAAGTCCAAGGCCCAAGTTAGCGACATGAGGCTCTGGGAAGTGCCGAGGCCCAGCCCGGCGTACCAGGACTGGCGGATGCTCTCTTTTCGTGGGCCTTGCATGGCCTGCTCGAGGATGCCCAGGACGCGGTCCTGGGAGGAAAAGGCCGTGATGGTGCGGAGGTTGGAGACGGCCTCGGCGGCGACCTTGCTGCTCTCGTCTTGGGCCTTGATGGCCTTCTGGGACATGGATTTGAGGAGCACGCGGCGGGTGTAGAAGCAGACTATGATCAGCGGCTGGACGGCGATCATCACGATGGCCAGCCGCCATGCGATGACTAGACCCATCGTGCAGGCGATTATTACGGCGGAAATGGTTTGCACGATCAGTGCCAGTCGGTCTCCCACCACGGATCTCACCTGTTCAACAAGCACGATCATTACCTCCATTAGAGTGTAGTCGGGTAGATAAACACAATTGACTTGAAGCCTCTAGTCACATCAAAGTTTGGTTATCCTTTTTGCTTAAACGAATTAGACTTGTACAGGTTTATCTTCATCAAGTGTTGGATTCAAGTTCAAATATGTGTTACATACACGAGAATTACTTATCAACATTATAAATAAATGTAAAAGAGACATACGAAAAAATGAAGGAATGTGGTACATTAACCGACACATCGGTTATGAAAGAGAATAAGCATGTACTTACACAGACCTTATTGGCTAATCCAAATTGACTAAATAATAATAATTTCTTACGCATTTAAAAATCATGAATAATTCCGTCTTCACTTCGTAGCATATTAGATAGTTAAATGGATACTCGAAACCCGTCACTTTTGTTTCATCCCTTCCAAAATTTTCATTTATTTGACAAAAAGAGAGATTACAACACAACCTACAAAATGAAAAGACAAAATGTGTCATCTGGTAAGGACTGGTCGGCTGGGAAAAAAAACAAGTTGAACAGAAGTATTGTATGCCAGTGGAATCATAATCAACATAATTAATAATAATGTTTCATCTAACTTGATACAACTTCGCTTTTGCTAATCCTCTGAATAAAAGACGAGTAAGCTATAATTAATAATTGGTGAGGTGTTAAGGACAAAGCAGATAAATGATGTGACTCTTTTTTTTTCTCTATTATGTTTGATTAAGCATCCTAACAACCACAGGACATAAACTGAGCTAGTACTAGTGTATTATTAATTAATTATTATTAACCTTATAAAACTTAATATTAAATCAATGTCAAACTTTATAAAAAAAAGGTGACATTGCTAAGAAGAACAAACAAAAGAAGAAAAAGAAGACAGTTACGTTTTGGAGTTATAAATTATTAAAAAAAATTGTGACGACAGAACAAAACATAATTAAAATGCAATCATCAATTAATCATTGTACTCCAGATACAGAAGTTACCCTAGATATTATTTTCTTATTGATTAATTAACTGGCAAATAAACAGAGAGGCCGAAACTGCTTACCACATTGGCATCTTTGGCGAGCCTGGAGCAAATTGCGCCACTGGAGTTCTCGTCCTGATCGAACCAGCCAACCTCAAAAGTCAGAATCTTTGAGAACATCCGCTCCCTGATCCGCTTGGTCAGACACTCCCCAACGTAAGCAAAATTGTAGTGCTGCACAACATTGACAATCATGGAAACAAAGGCGAGCCCGAGAAAGCTCAGCGAGTAGATGGCCGTCCTGCGTTTGATCTCGTCATGATCGGGCAAGAAAAACATAGATATCATGGAACCCATGACGAAAGCGTAGAGAGGCTGAATCCCACCGAACAGAACCGCTCCCGAGCAACCCAGAAGCCCTTGCTTCCACTCAGGGAGGTTCAGAGCCATAAGCCTTTTGAACGATGGCACCGGGAAGTCATGCTCGACGGTCAGATTGTTCTGGTTGTCTCCGGCTACCGAGCCTCCTCGACTATGTGTGGCCACGGAGTTTGCCGAGCTTGACCTGCTCACCATGGACAATCTCCGGCTGCTGGTGTTGTTCATGTCGATTGACAAGCGAGCAGAGGATGCAATCAAGGTTTGGGGTCCAGTACTGTGATCATTAGCGTCTTCTGTATCGTTTTGTGTTTGTTGGAGGTGGACTAAGGATGTGTAGAGTCCATCAGGGTTTTGGATGAGCTCGTCGTGGGACCCTGTTTCCATGACCTCGCCGTTTTGGACCACGGCGATGACATCGGCGTCACGGACTGTGGAGAGGCGGTGAGCGATGATGATCGTTGTCCGGCCGACGGCTGCCTTGTCTAGTGCTGCCTGGACGACCCTTTCGGATTCGGAGTCCAGTGCGCTAGTTGCTTCATCGAGGAGGAGGATCCTTGGTGCTTTGATCACTGCTCTTGCTATGGCTATCCTCTGTTTTTGACCTCCTGACATTTGCACTCCTCTCTCACCAACCTGCCAATTCACCACTCCAAATGGTTCATCAATTTTGTAATTTAACAGTTGGGAAAAGGGTGCTAAGACTAAGGAAGTGGAATACCATCAATTCTTCACAAGTCTCACAATAATTGAACTACTAAAACAAATGAACTCCAAACATCAAGTTAGAGCTTAATTTACCGACAAATATGAGTACAATGATATTATGCACACTTCAAATTCATGATCTAATTATGTTTTGACAAGACATATGGAGAAATGATATAAATTCATTTTTTTTTATCTCTTTAAAAAAAACTCTAGTTATTATGATGAATTGAGGGTAAAAGACACCGCTTATGCAAATATAGTATGATAAGCGGCAGAGTATATATTTATCAAATGAGACACCGCTTATGCAAATATAGTATTCAACTAGTGGCAGGTCAAAGTTTGTTTTCACGCCCATCAAGTAACCAATTGCGTATGGTTTTTGACTTTTTTTCCTAACACCATAAACAGTTGTAAACAAAATATGTTATGTTGAGGGTAAAAGACAAAGCAGAAGCAAACTAACCTGAGTATCATAGCCCTGAGGTAACTGACAAATGAAGTTATGAGCATTAGCAGCTTTACCAGCAGCAATAATCTCATCCATGGAAGCATCTTCCTTCCCAAAAAGTATGTTTTCCTTGATGGAAGTTGCAAACAGTGCAGGCTCTTGGCTGACCAACCCC